TATAATACCTAGGTATGTTTTAAAATGCAATTAAAAGCATTTTTGGTTTTTGATCATAGTAGGCTATTTTCAAAAAATATCGATTTAATATCAATATTCGCATTTGTTATCATTTATAATACCTAGGTATGTTTTAAAATACAATTTAAAGCATTTTTGGTTTTTGATCATAGTAGGCTATTTTCAAAAAATATCGATTTTATATCTATATTAGCATTCTTTATCATTTATAATACCTAGATATGTTTTAAAATGCAATTTAAAGCATTTTTGTTTTTTGATCATAGTAGGCTATTTTCATAAAATATCGATTTTATATCAATATTAGCATTCTTTATCATTTATAATACCTAGAAATGTTTTAAAATGCAATTTAAAGCATTTTTGGTTTTGATCATAGTAGGCTATTTTCATAAAATATCGATTTTATATCTATATTAGCATTCTTTATCATTTATAATACCTAGATATGTTTTAAAATGCAATTTAAAGCATTTTTGATTTTTGATCATAGTAGGCTATTTTCAAAAAATATCCATTTTATATCAATATTAGCATTCTTTATCATTTATAATACCTAGGTATGTTTTAAAATGCAATTTAAAGCATTTTTGTTTTTTGATCATAGTAGGCTATTTTCATAAAATATCGATTTTATATCTATATTAGCATTCTTTATCATTTATAATACCTAGATATGTTTTAAAATGCAATTAAAAGCATTTTTGGTTTTTGATCATAGTAGGCTATTTTCATAAAATATCGATTTTATATCTATATTAGCATTCTTTATCATTTATAATACCTAGATGTGTTTTAAAATGCAATTTAAAGCATTTTTGTTTTTTGATCATAGTAGGCTATTTTCATAAAATATCGATTTTATATCTATATTAGCATTCTTTATCATTTATAATACCTAGATATGTTTTAAAATGCAATTAAAAGCATTTTTGTTTTTTGATCATAGTAGGCTATTTTCATAAAATATCGATTTTATATCTATATTAGCATTCTTTATCATTTATAATACCTAGATATGTTTTAAAATGCAATTTAAAGCATTTTTGTTTTTTGATCATAGTAGGCTATTTTCATAAAATATCGATTTTATATCTATATTAGCATTCTTTATCATTTATAATACCTAGATATGTTTTAAAATGCAATTTAAAGCATTTTTGTTTTTTGATCATAGTAGGCTATTTTCATAAAATATCGATTTTATATCTATATTAGCATTCTTTATCATTTATAATACCTAGATATGTTTTAAAATGCAATTAAAAGCATTTTTGTTTTTTGATCATAGTAGGCTATTTTCATAAAATATCGATTTTATATCTATATTAGCATTCTTTATCATTTATAATACCTAGATATGTTTTAAAATGCAATTAAAAGCATTTTTGGTTTTTGATCATAGTAGGCTATTTTCATAAAATATCGATTTTATATCTATATTAGCATTCTTTATCATTTATAATACCTAGATATGTTTTAAAATGCAATTTAAAGCATTTTTGTTTTTTGATCATAGTAGGCTATTTTCATAAAATATCGATTTTATATCTATATTAGCATTCTTTATCATTTATAATACCTAGAAATGTTTTAAAATGCAATTTAAAGCATTTTTGGTTTTGATCATAGTAGGCTATTTTCATAAAATATCGATTTTATATCTATATTAGCATTCTTTATCATTTATAATACCTAGATATGTTTTTTGATCATAGTAGGCTATTTTCATAAAATATCGATTTTATATCTATATTAGCATTCTTTATCATTTATAATACCTAGATATGTTTTAAAATGCAATTTAAAGCATTTTTGTTTTTTGATCATAGTAGGCTATTTTCATAAAATATCGATTTTATAATATATTATATCTATATTAGCATTCTTTATCATTTATAATACCTAGGTATGTTTTAAAATGCAATTAAAAGCATTTTTGGTTTTTGATCATAGTAGGCTATTTTCAAAAAATATCGATTTAATATCAATATTCGCATTTGTTATCATTTATAATACCTAGATATGTTTTAAAATGCAATTTAAAGCATTTTTGTTTTTTGATCATAGTAGGCTATTTTCATAAAATATCGATTTTATATCTATATTAGCATTCTTTATCATTTATAATACCTAGATATGTTTTAAAATGCAATTAAAAGCATTTTTGGTTTTTGATCATAGTAGGCTATTTTCATAAAATATCGATTTTATATCTATATTAGCATTCTTTATCATTTATAATACCTAGATATGTTTTAAAATGCAATTTAAAGCATTTTTGTTTTTTGATCATAGTAGGCTATTTTCATAAAATATCGATTTTATATCTATATTAGCATTCTTTATCATTTATAATACCTAGAAATGTTTTAAAATGCAATTTAAAGCATTTTTGGTTTTGATCATAGTAGGCTATTTTCATAAAATATCGATTTTATATCTATATTAGCATTCTTTATCATTTATAATACCTAGATATGTTTAAAAATGTAATTTATATTATTATTAATTATACTATAATTGATGTTTTTGTAGTGCAACTTTTAGCGGAAAATTTCAAATTATTTACTGACCATCAGAAAATTTTAATTTTACATCTTCTGCAAAAATTAAAATATCAATTTGGCATTGCTTAGAAAATCACAAAATACGCTTTCTGTAAGCAAGCAAACAAGCATGCAAGTTAATCAGCAAGAAATATCAATAACGAGACATTGTAAAGACTGCTGGTTTTCTACATTTGATCCATGCTGCTCTATAGAAGAGCTATAATGTTTTTTGGCAAGGTAGGAACAGCCGTTGCTTCAGAAAAAGCAGAAAACTTTCCTTTCTTACGAATTTTTCAAAACAAAAGTTCGCTGTGATTTTTATAAAATTCAACTTTGGATGAAAAATTTTTTTAAAAAACTTTTAAAGAATGTTCGTTAAGCTTTAAACCTTCAAACATATGCTGATCGAAGCTCAGCTGACTCGCTGGTTTTATACTTTCAAACTTACCAAGCTTTATACCTTCAAATGCTAAGCAAATCTTGGTCTATCTATAAGACTTTTGATGGTACGGTGTGAATATATCCTTATTGGGTTTACCCGATACACTAATTTTCGTTTTGTGGTATATATATAAAAGAACTGTAATCTAACATAAGTCAAATGCGGAAGCTAGTGACTTTCTACGTAAGTCGTGTTTTTTCTATTCAAATCGGACAGGAATAGACATCCAGTTATTTGAAAATAATGAATCAAATATGAGTATGAATCTACATATATCTTTGTGGGATATCTGATTTGATTAAGAATCAAATTGATGATGTTGATTTACATGCTGATTGTCTTTTAATGAACTGTCTGTTTATTGATGCAGAGACACAAGATTAGATCTTTTGCAACACAGTCAGAATTGTCATGGGGATTTTATTTATGTACTGAACATTAGGAGATGTAATGCTGTTTGGTAAGTTAAAGTTAAGGAAAGGATATCCAATGGCTTGATTCACCATCAAATATTCCATTATTTGAATGTAATATTTACCAAATTTTAAAAGCTTTGAATCGATAATCTGAACAGTTTAAAAAATTCATTGAGCAACAAGATGCATGCTCATTTCTGCTATTATGCCATACTTAATAATAGACAAGAAAGGTAAATAGAAGGAGAAATTTTAAGTCGATTACTCTTGAGATATAAGAATAGCAAAAAATTCCTCGAGTTTCGAGAGTAAAATGCGATAAATTTTAAATTTAATGAAGAGCATACTCCTTTTTAACCCGTACCCGGAGCGTAAGAGAAACAGAGCTCAATTGCTACTTCACAAAAGTTTCATAGTGAATTTTTTTAAGGAGCACAGCGATAGCTTAAACATAGCAACAATGTGTTATACATTGTAAACTTAATGAATATAAATTGAATTCTATTACAATGTGCTTTTGCTGTTGACTGCATTAAATTCTTTCAATTGTTTTTAAATACATAATGTCCTTGTGCTGAAAATATGTAGAATATACAGGTTAAGGGAAGATACTCATAATTGTCTTGTTTTAAGTTACTTGATTTCTGAAGATCTCAGTTGCAATGTTACTGATAACTTTACATAAAATCTAGCAGTTACCTTAAAGGAGTCATGCAAGTTTGCTTCAAATTAATGCCATTCATTGAACATATTTACACATACTGTATTCTGACTAGTCATCAAAATATTAGGGGTGGTTGATTTTTACTGTTAAAAAAATACCTTCAAAAAAAAAGATGGGATGAGATGTGGATGAAACACAAAAGCAGCCATAGATCATTAAAACCGAAATAACCTTGAATGCTATTTGCCAAATAACGTGGAGCTTGTATGAACTCACGTTGTCAATTGTCGTTGTTATTTAGCTTTTGTAGCTATAGATAGATACAATATGTATCGTATGTCGACTTACACATTCGTATGTACATGCTAAATGAAAAGCGAAAAGCCGTTCATGCATAACATGCTTCGACAATGAACTTTTATTTGAGTTCTAATTTTGTATTCTCTTGGTGTGTAGCATTAAAGATTTTTTTAGCGGGATTTTCTGTATAATCCATGAGAATATGTTTGCATTTTTAGTGAATGGATAAACGTTTTATTGGGATTTAAAGTACGGAATCAATTATAGAAGATTAATAGTAATTCAAATGACAGTTTTAAGCTTTTATTGAATTTATAATGCACGTATGATGTATATTTCAGTTGAAAACTATCATGCGCTACATATTAGATTCCCCTGCATAAGTTTTCTTCTCGTTCCTCAATCGCTTCTGGAGTTCTCATTTGAAGAACAAAATTCAATCATTTAAACATAAATTCATAGCAGACAGTCTTTATTTCGGATAATTTTATAACTATAAATCTTTAATAGAATTTTTGTTCAATTTATTCTATTTCCATCACATTTGGCAAAAATCACGGCCAATTGAAAACTCTTGATCATTCATCGTTTAACAATTGTTGAAGAACGTTTGCTAGTTGCTACTGCTGAAAGGTAAGTCCATTAATAGTCTCTTATCTAGTTTACTCAGTTTATGTTTTAAAGTTGGAAACTTTTCAGACTTCCAGGTGAAAGAGTTCTTGAGTTGCTTATTGTGAAGTTACTTCTACTAAGTTCGATTCTTCAAACTTTTAAAATTTTAAAGATTGAAGATCACCCTTCTAAGTTATGAACATGCCTTGTTTCAATTATGTTAATCACAAGCATGGAAGCTGATAACTTTCAGTGGAAAGTCGATTCTCATTTTATTTATTCTCTAAATTCGACAGTAGGCATAGAGAAAAATTGAAGAAAATTCTATTCTGTGAATGTGTTAAATCCGTTGTTATAGCAAAGTTTTTTCAATAAAACATTTTTCCTTCCCTTTTCTCTCTTTCATATTCTTCAACATCGGCAGTACCTAATATCCACGATATCGTGCTACCTCTCGAAAAATACAAAAAGCAGTGCTGTTGTTAGCCTTGTGTGTTCATCAGAGTGTTTTTGAAATTTCATAAGTACACTGAGTGGCAATCAGAATTATTATGGATTCAGAAGCAATCGAGCCGTCGTTAGTAGCCATGGATAGTTGTTTCACGGCATTTGATAAGGACTGGTAAGTTCATTCTTTTTTTTTAATTTTTAATTTCTACGGGGTTAAAAAAGTAAATTCTTGAAATTAGGAAATTGATTTTAATTGAAAGTGATAATTTATGAAAGTAATTGAATGACCTTAATGGAACTAGAAATTCTATCAACATGAAAATGTTAAGTTATCGAAAAAATTAACATGATGTGTAACAAATTGACATTCAAGGTATCAATGCAAGACCTTGGAATATAAAAATGTGCAAAATTGATTTTATAGATTTAGCTATCAAAAACTGAATGACAAGCGATGAGTTATTACTGAAAAGATTTTATTATTCATGACACAGTGCCACTGGCTTAGTTTCTTGCAAAATTGTAATGCTTTTTAAAAAACATTTAGTGATTAAGGCTGATTTAATCATCAAATTACCAGTTTCATAAATCGATCCTTCATATGCTTCGCTTTCTACTGAATTAATAAAATCCATATCCAATAAATAAATTACCAGCCATAGAGACAGAACAAAAATACAAACAATCATTTCGCTGTAACAATAATCAGGGTGGGGATTTAAATCATAAATCAAAATCATAAATATTAAGTCATTAAAGAATGTAGCACTTTTTCTGAGCATTTTCAATCTTCAGGCACTAAAGGAACCGGTCAGTTCTTCAAAAAATTTTTTGTTACAGGATGTGATTCCTTGATTAAAAAGAAACAAAAAAATTTATTTGGGATGTAAAGGAACTGGGCAGTTCCAGTGTCTAATCATGCCTCTGGCTAATAAATACAAACGTAAACCTCTTTGACAATGAAAACTTATCAAAAAAATCTTTAAAGGGACCATATGATGCTAGATCCATTCATGCTTTATCATTTAGAGCTATACCAACATCTGCATACTACAATATCCAAAAGCCAGAAAGGATATCCATGATTAATGATTAATGTTTTTTAATAATCTTCTGAAAATTTCCAAACATATTTTCACCTTCAAGTGATTTAAAATCCCAAAAAAAAAATCTTTCATACAAGAGATTTAAATGAAAATCAGGGACCAAAATGAATGAAAAAAATCTGTGATGAAAAACATCATTATTTTTGATGATGAAAAAAATTATGATTTTTTTCATCTACGTAAATTATTACGTAAAATTTCATCACGTAAGAATCATTTTTACGTAGGATTTCATCGCGTAAACGAAAAAATGCAGTAAAATCACACCAAATGTATTAATAATGCTAAATAATAAGAACAAGAGATAGAATAGATTAGTTTTGCTTAAAAAACTTGCATAAAAACATTTTATACGTCAGTTTTTGCTTTACGTAATGAAATCCTACGTAAAAATGATTCTTACGTGATGAAATTTTACGTAATAATTTACGTAGATGAAAAAAATCATAATTTTTTTCATCATCAAAAATAATGATGTTTTTCATCACAGATTTTTTTCATTCATTTTAGTCCCTGTTTGAAATCCCAAAAAAAAAAATCCCCATACAATTTAAATTATAAATCACAAATAAATCTTTCATACAAAATGATTTAAATCATAAATCATTTTTCAGAAAAAAATTTTAATCAGAAATCATTTTTCAAATCATTCTTCATTGGGACTTAAATCAAAAATCACAATTTGATTTGTGATTTTGATTTAAATCGCAAAAAACTTCCCCACCCTGACAATAATTAAGCTTGATTTTAATCAATTTTAAATTCAGACTGTGAAAAGTTAAAAAATAATAATAATAATTCAGCAAAGTACTTAAATCTGATGGGTGTTTTGTGATATTGCATGTGTAAACAAGTAATCATTGAAAAGAGTCATTAAGAGGTTGTCGTAAATTGCCATAAACACAAAATACCACTTATGATTTAATGACAGGTGTAAAATTAAACTTTTACCACTTGATCTGTATAATAATAATTACAATTCAACAGCAACCTGAGAGGTGCTGTTACTAATTCCTTTATATTGAAAGTTTAAATTAACTTCCCTCCTCTCTCCCTGTTATCGTTTCGCACATACTCTATTTTATTATTATATCCTATCATTTTGTTGGCTGTAAATCTTTCGAGTGCGTTTAACTTTCCGCTTTTCATTTCGAGAATTTATTTATGCTTCATATATTAATCAAACAAACTATAGTAACGGTGCTATTTTCGTCATTGTATACTATGAACAATACAACTGTGAAAAGACGAAGAAATTGCTTTGAGGTAATAGAAAATAGGGAAAATTTATGTCTTAACTATGACGCTCGTGTATTCTTGCGTATCATTAATTGCGTAAAATGCTTAACGCTTATAAACTTAAACACGTCAGCAATGTTATAATGTGAACTGGAAATTATTTATGTGATTCGTGTTTAGAGGAATAGATAGAGAATTTGTAGAATTCAGTAATATTGTTGGAGCTTAGATTTGTTTAAGATTATTTACTGAAACTTTAATTCTTATTGCCAATGCCACTCGTTTATGTCATAATAATATTTTACATCGATTATGCTCATCTTCTTCTAATCAAAGTTATTCTAAGCTTGGTTGGTTACTTTGTGACGATTGAAACGCGTTAGCCACATAAAACTGAACAATTTTAGAAACTTGTTCAAAAATATCGCGAGACATTCCAAATTACAAACCAGAACTGAGCCTTTATAATACTATAAAATGCGACAGTGAACAAATATTTCAATTATTGTACGAAAATTCTTGTTTATAATTTGATAGATGTTCTCTAGTAATTAATTTAATAGATATAGTCTCTTGATTTTACTACCAAGTTCTTGTGTATACTCAAAGAAAAAATCTAATATTGAATTTTAGATTTGTATGAAAAAATCTAATAGAAAATTTTTGTTTTGAAACCCCAAGGATTATTTTAGATTTCTTAAAGAAATTCTTTTTGATTTTCTTAAAGAAAATTTTATAATCAAAAATTTTATTTCTAGTTCATACTTTATAAAAATAAATAATTTTTCTTTTAAATTCAAAATTCGACATTATTTTTTAAATTTAAAAATAAAATTCTAGAATCTAAAGTAAAGATTTTTGAATTTAAAAAAATAATTTTTGATTTTTTAAATTAATCTTTCAATTTAAAACAAATGAAGTTGATGGAAGTGACAGAACTTATAAAAACATAAAGCACGAATGCTTGTGAGGCAGAGGAAATTTTATTCATGTGAAAGATATTCTTATAAATATTTTAAGTTTGTATGGAAATTTAGGTTTGACTTGATGCCATGATTTCTGCGAAGTTTTGTTTTTCTTCAAATATTTCTGCGAATTATTGTTTTCAAAAATCAAAAAGAAAAACTTTTAAATCTAATTTTTTTTATTTAAGTTGCAAAATTTTTCGAAATCAAAAATTGTACATTAAAATCAAAAGTTTTATTTTCGAATGAAAATCAAAAAAATTGCACTTTAGATTTTTAAAATGTGTATTGTTAATTTCAAAACTTTATTTTAAAATTCAGAAGAAATTTTTTAAAATTTAAATTAAAATTTAATTAGAATTGACGAATTTTAAAATCTAAAGTGGAAGTTTTTGAATTTTTTTCTTGAGTATACTTGTAAATTAAATTTCGAGAATGTTGTATCCATGACAGAGTGCTTTATATAATTAAAATATCATTCTTACATTAAGTCAAGGAGTGTAACCGAATATTTGTTGGGACTAATTTGTAATATTGTTTAGGAACTCATTAAAAAGAAGTAGCGCAATACAGTAAAATCTAAGACTCAACTTCACATACTCTGCTGAATTTATTCTCCCAATAAATTATTGCATCGTTTAAATTAGAACCACAGCTAATGCTTTGCGGGCGAGAAAATCGCAATCATTTTCATGACTAATGACATCCATAAAAGAAAGTTGTATTAAAAAGTTATGTTCACACAAGCATAAATAATTAAATTTTATTTTCAGCAGTGAGCAATACGAAATTAAATATGTTAATCCAAATTTGATGGATTATTCATTGAATTATTTAAGAATTGACAAGTTCGCGAGATTTTGTCGATTTGAATTAAGATTCAACAGTATTGAATGGTTTATTAATTTTTTTCTTAGAATTAAGGCACGGCTCAGTAAACATGATGTTCATTTGACGCATTAATTCATGGTAAATTGAAGATTCTTCAGAATTTCAAATACTTTGTAGGAAGATAAAACAGCTTTGACGAACTTACGCAAGCATGTCATGAAATCTGAGTACAATTCTCGATTAATGACACTGACATTTAAATTTAAATGCTGAACTGCTCATTTATTCAATAAACGTGAAAAACTCTCATCCTTATGTCAACAGTGAAAAATGAACATTTTTATGCTACCTTGATTCACTGTTTATTTTATCGATTAAATCACTGAAGGAATAAATAATTGCTGTGTATGCCTTTGAACCGATTTTAAATTAATGGAAAATCGCATTTTGTCTTGCTTTCATTTTGTTCGATGAAATTTAATGCTGAGAATTGCTTATTTTGGATGGGGTACTTATTGATGGAACCTCTGGAAAAACATTTTCCTTTTTGTTCATGCACTTTCCTGGAAGTAAATAAAGGTTTTGATGAAATTTTACCCTTTTTCATTGCTCAAGAAAATCAGTAATAAAATACGTATTTAATAATCTTAAGATACTAGGCCAGTTCTGGAGCTAAAATTTTGTGGTCCGGACTTAGATGTCCTTACTTTTGTTTTATTTTTGATAAACAAAGAGTTTTGAAAATAACATCAGTACCAATGGCATCAAAACTAGAAATTTCAAGAGGGAGGAGGAAGGGGGGAAAGTCTTGAAGTAATCCTAAAAAGCCAACATTTTAAAACGCCAACAAAATACACAAAAATTAAAGTAAAGTGTGCATGACTAAACAACTTTATCACACATTTCAAGATAGTCGTTTAGTTGAAAAAATCTCAGTCAAAAATTGGTCAAAATAAAATTCTTGCAATGCCTTTTTGTCGGTTTGAAAGTGTACAAAAGGAAGAAAAGTTTTGTAAAAGGTAGAAATATAA